AAAAATAACCACTCTCTAGAAAAGAAAATATAGCACAACAAAGTTCGACTTTTTTCAGTCATTATTTTCAAACAATTTTTCTTGACATTATTTGACCATATGCTGAGGGGAAGTAAATATAAAACCTCAATATCAACAGCATGAGGGGTTAAAATTATACTTCCGGGCACTAAACAGTTTTTCACGCTGTGTTACTTAAATAATATTTATATTTCATGGACAACTACCAAAAAGTTCAATGTTTTTCTAAAAACTGTAAAACTTTTTTCATTGTGAATAATTTCGAGTGATAATTTGAGAATATACTTGATAATAGACATTGTGCCTACCCAGATTGTATGTGTAACACAGGTAAAAAATAGAAAGAATCCGCAAAAATGCCACCGCTTGGTCGCGTACCTCTCCCGCTCATATTGAAAATGTTACAGGCCAATAGTAACGCAAAAATTTGATGAATTAAATACCGTATTTGATTTAACGTGGGGTAAGTGATATTTGAATGGGTTTAGCGATGCCAAATTGCCGATAAATGGGATTTTTCTGGAAATAGTGCTATTCTAACCCCCTACCATCCTCCAACCCCTGATTTGAGGCCTGAAGAGTGTTAAGCTCCTGACAAAACTATTTCAAATGACCTCAACAACATTTGTGTATAACAAGCGGCCAACTTTCCGTAACAAGCACAACGCTTTTTGATAGTCAGCTAGGCGCATTCTCGTATGGACTAACCACGGTTCTAAGAAAATTGACTCCATTTCATAAGCGAATGTAGATACGAAGCTATCATAAAAACAACCTTTGATAGCTTACTCATCAAGCTACAAAATTGCCTTAAAAACTTTTCTATGTATAATATTTACCGGACCATAATAAAAAAATCTAAAAGTTTTTTAAAAATGTTTCAGTACATCCTACCGTTGGATCCAGAACGTTTTATTATGCAAAAGGAGACTACGTCAGTTACCTTCATCCAAATTTTCATCCACTATAGAATTTTAGCAAAGTTTGGAAAAATCTGTTGTTCCCTCGGTCCAGTTAGTCGATCTGTTTTCTTATTTCATATGATATTGATGACGTAATATTAAAAAATTATGGAAAGACTTACCCTTCTTATTTTGAAATGCCCTGTACAGTGTGTTTCTCATAAATTGCTCACATCATTAGTAGACAAATCATAAAATGTACGGAGGATGGTTTAAACTTTCTAGTGGTAAATAATTCATTGGTTAGAGACCAGTATCAGGCTACTTCTCGCGAAGGCGCATTAAGGTGTGCTTTGTATTAACTACAAAGTACATGCGCGCCTAAGAGTTGAAATTCAAGCGCACTACTTGGTACACCGGTCGTTAGTAGCGAGATTAGGCCGAATGCACACTAATGATGCTGTTGCTCTCAGTTGTCTACACAATGTCAAACACTCAGCGGTGAAGGATTTGATGCTTTGGATTAACCGACGGTAACTTGAGGTGGGATTCACATAATTGGTGTTTATTGCTTTCATCAGTGTTGTCAATCGATGGAATAAGTTCCGACATGCGCAACTTTTTGGATCTTGGAGGAACCTTCTCGGAACCAAAATTTTACAGGAACTTTCAGGAAATTTTTGGAAAGAAGGGTTTATTTTCTGAATTACCAAAAAACTTAAATGTTTTCTAATATTTATTGAAAGAAATACCAGCAACACCGTAAAGATACCCGGACAGGGAACAGTTTAGATTTGAAACTAGAACAGTTCAACAACTTGAGAATTCTCCTCGACTCCCTTTGTATTAGATTAAACAACTGAGATGGATAATAATTTGGACATCTGGGTGACTTGACATCAATAAACTTATTGTGCGTTGGTAAGTAACTATGTTCTTCCAAAAAATCCAAAAATTCATGAGACCATCATTTGTGAATGAAAAATCGGAACTTTTGGCAACCTCGCACGGAACTTTTCATATGACATTCAGTAACAGGCGAGTTGCTTAAAAGACTGCTTGTTTTCTTCTACAATATCCCTACTAATATTATAAATGAGAACATGTGGATGGTTAATATTCAGGCCAAAACAGCTGAACGGATTTGGCTACTTTTTATCCCGGGAAATGACTTTGAAATATCTATTGCACGAGCTACAGCCGCAATGGCTAGATGGAATTTGACATAAGGTGTCTGATGAGGAAGCTCTGTTCCGATCGAAATGAGTACGGCATGGGTGTTACGTATCTTCAAAAGCGACATTTTGTCGTTTTTTTACATTTAGTAGATTTCCTAGGTTTTTCTACAAGATGTTAACTTAGCACAAGCTGTTGTACACTTGTTGTAAACCCGTACTTGTTGCTGAAACGTCAGCGAACAGCGAGCAAACTTGGAATATATGCACACTAAGAACTACCTAGTCTGCAAGATGACATTTCGTCTGTTTTTTTTTTGAAGTTTTGTAGGTTTTTTACTTAATACCCCTGCGGGTATATAAATAGGGCATCGCGACTTGATTTAGATCGATTTCGTTGCTGTTTTGTTTTGCTTGAAGTATTGTTTCCCTATGATAACTTTTACTTAGGTAATAAGCAGTAAAGCTCATTTACTTCTTTTTAAATTTTGACGTCAATACATTTTTTATTACAATTACATAATATATCATTGATCACGACAATAACAAAAATATTTATTTTTTCACTTTATCAAATATTTCATATTAACTACATTTCTGCATAAGCAGTAAAACTGTATATCAAAGTGAAACAGCAGTAGTTTCAAACTACTGCTTTTATTTTCTGTATGATACAAGTACTACCTTTTTACCCTTTATAACCTATTATGATGTTTACTTTAAGCTTTTTTTACTTAATAATTGTATTATTTGTGAATAAGTATTTATAGTTATAAACTTTTGCTCCGTAAGAATGTTTTTGATAAATATTGTTCGTTCAAGTCCACATATAAGGAAAGATGCTGTTTTTAGTTTATTTATATAATTATAAAATGTTTCCTCAGAAAGAATAATATAAATAGAATATGATAACTACGTTAAAAGGCAGTAAATTTGTTTACGCAGAATACAAAAGCCGTAAATTACATGTTACTACTTTTTTATTAACGACAATCACAGACGGAACGTCATTTATTCGACAACAATTATGATCCAAAATCACATATTAACGATTCTCAATGTCATGTAATTTTACAATATTCATTCACTTTTGTTGTGTCGTAATGATATTATTTACTTAGTTCAAAAAAAATTTCGATCCAATTTTCTCAGACATATTTTTATTCTTTGTTGCCTTTCACCTAAGTACGACAGAATATGTCTAAGATGTTAAAGCTTAGTAGGATTTGAGATTTTAAGGACATGTTTAATTAAAGCAAACTTTTAAGGCCAGCTTCCCCTGTTTAGGGTGGCGTCCGTCTTCTAAACAAAAATTTATTATGCGACTGATATGAAAGAAAGGTAGGAAGATATTTGATTATAGCTACTGATAGGCTGTCAATTTCTTTAGAGATCATTTTAGGGTCATATTTGAGGTCATTGACAATTTAATTTCTTTATTCTAAACTTGAACTTTTTTTCAAAAAGATGCGCGGATAAAACCATTCCTATAACGTTCCTTGGGTACTAATTAGTAAACATACAAATTTATACGTTTCTTTGTATTGCGGTTCTGCGGGGTGAACTGCAGAGACATTCACATTTATCTATTTTTGCATTGAAATGTTGAATAAAAAATATGAATTACCAAAGTAACAATTGCGTTACTTTGAATATTGCATTTCTGTCTCCGAAACCAATCTCCTCCAAACTAGTGCAGGATGTATGAACTATACTGCTTCCACACGAGCGGACCGCAGGTTTAGGCTAGCAAACTGCTACAGCCGGATATCTAAATTGATAAGTTTGAGTTCAATACGAAAATGACCAAGGCTTGAAATGGCATTCACTAGGACATTGAATCAGTAGCACTAAGTATTGAAAAAACACTGGATTTTGCGTGGGTACCATTAGCGTTCTTTTTCTGTACAATATCTGGATGCGGTCAAACTAATTAATTATTAGGCTGAATATGATTTGTTTGCTTTCCATCTTTGTGACCATGCTCATCCGCATACTACGTTGTTTCGTAATTTTTAGCAATCATCAGCATGTCATAGGTCTTGCCTTGGAGACGGTCAACGCGAATATGTCGAGAACACAGAAAATGCATAAGCTTTCTGCCAATTCTGAAATGGCAGCTGGTTTCATGAACACATCATTATAGGCGATCCGTTTGGAAGACTACGCAAAAATTGCATAAACAAAACAACGGTGCAGGTGTCAGAGTACTGCTTTGGTAAATTGCTCGTAGGTGGCAGTGCAAGCTACTGGTACACCGTCTGTATTGATACGAGTGAGAGAAAACAAAAACAATCTTAATCTTGATGATTGTTCATACACTGCGAATGATAAAAAGTGTTTGCTCATAAGTTGAAATTTCTCCATTGCCTCCAATCCTCTTTTCGAAGAACATACTGTTCTTGATTAGTTGAGATATTTTCAGCCACTTTGAAATTTCCATGTCAATGTGTAATTTTATAAAAACGGTTATCTGGCTTCAATCTTTTCAATTGATGAGTAGTCAAAGTTGCGACGAAACTAAGAAAGACGCAAACACCCCAACACAATTCAAAAATAATTACCCCAAATCATAAGTCACCCATGACAAAATAAAATCTTGTGCGATCTGCGCATGTCAAAAACTCCTAGTACCGTCAAAATCCTGTGCACTGTTTCGAACCATCCGAAACAAGTTTTCAACCCAAAAACTGGTTTGCTGAAAGAGCTGACCGATAATCCTCAACTAGGTTTGCCCTTTCTTGAACACGTTTTCTCCACTGCGCATGCTCAGTCGGTTTCAAACCCCTTGGAAAAATGATGCTAGAACATTACTAATGTGAAACACCCTTAACTATCTCCGAACCCATAAAGAATTCGCGTGTATCCGCTTCTTTGCGGCGGCTTATGCGTCTCAGTGCGGGCCGCATCGGCCACCGCGACCGCATTCGCGAGCCCCTCGTCGTCTGGACCTGGAGCAACGCCGCGTCCAGCGTGCTCGTGGAGTCAGTGACTCGGTCGTTGCCGGAGCGGACGCCGTCTCCGTCGAGGGGCGCATCAACCACGTGTGTGTGCACGTATCGAGCGTCGGCGCCGCGACGCCGAAACTGGCGCCACTCCACCACGTCCCGACATCCTTGGAATATAGGTTAGGATCGCTAAGGTTGTGTGACGATTGCTCTGTTGTGATCTGATATGTGATACGACGGCCTTGCTTTCGAAGAAGGATTAGCTGGATTTGATATGAGGAATTGTTCTGGTATGGTGCTTGTTTTGATTGCGATTTAGGTGCATGAATAATGAACAAAGAAATGCTGTGCAGTTATCTGATACGCAAAATGAAGTGCGGGATGAACTTCTACTAATAATGCGTTGCTTCAGCAATTATTGAAAGGTGCAAGAATTATAAAATAAAGATTGTATCATGTTTAATGATAAATTTGACTCTAGTTTTTAAACCTGGTGTTCATATCATAAATCAATCTTTCATGAGTGTCATCAGCTAGAAGATCCATTGAATTGCATCAGACAAGACATTTCGTATTAGTATTAAATCTAAACTCTCTGTTTGTAATATTAATTAAAAATGTCGCTTCTTCCATACAACTTTGTTTAGCGTTTTATGTAAACAGCACTGGTTCAGTTTAATAAAAGTCTCTTACATTCCAGCTATTCGTAGAGCCCTTGTCGATGTATAAATAAAAATATTGAATGGAATCTTGCAGTGCTCATCTCTGCATCAGGGTGACGTTTCGGAGTACATTGAGCAAACCCGTATATCAGGGAGCCTTGAAATCCGATCACTTACTTGAATTAATGGTTCATCCAAGGGTTAGGGAAACCTTGATCCCTCTTCCCTGAGATACGTAAAAAAGCAAACAGCTACAATTTATATGTATTTATATCTGTACCCAATGCAAAAGGAAAAAACATTGAGCAATCAATATATTGCGGACTACCCTATGCCATATACGTAGGTTTAACTACTGGAAACTAAAAAAAAAAACTATAACGAAACATGAAGAAAATGTAAATCTCATCTATAGATTCCGAAATTATCATTCTACTTCATGGATTAATTAAACAGGTTGATCTGTGAGGAAAGAAATATGGATTAGTTTCTTTAAGATACACTGGTTTTCTAGTTTTCATCTGGCAAATTCATCATACTGTATGCAATTCAGGTTTTTACGGTACCATTCCCACTTCAATCATTTTTGTTGTCTGTATTTTGGAACCAAAAGACATAATTTACGGTGCCTTAGAGCACTCAAAGCAAAATAATATCGATTGTAAAATAAATAATTATAGTCCAGCTTTCAGAACAAAATTACAAAAATAGTTACTTCTTACAGACCGAAAAATGCGCGAATCAATCAAATTTGTGGAAATATCAATAATAGGCGCTGACTTAATACATCAAGTATGCAGTGTTAGGGTGCACTTTTGTCTTGCTCGAGCTACTGTACATCTAAAGAGATGATTATCGTTAATATTTGTTACCTCATCCTAGGCGGAGGAGTCGGCGACATATTAATTAATCCGTTCAATTCCTAAATTTTGAGCTATTGAATATTGTACCACCTTCACATCATCTTTGTCTTTGACAATCAAATACAGTAGAAACACTCAATATGTTATTTGCTACTGTTTCAAGTAAACTCTTACGATCTATTGTATTATTGAATTACTCATTATTACACATTACAGATATTATTGCATATTGATATCGCATATCGTAAGGTCAGCATCAATGGCATTGGGTTTTTTACAATATTGCTAAGTGCTGATCATTCAAAAAGTCGAAGTGTGAATGGACTGGTAATGAAAAATCACATTAGTGTACGTGTGAAGATTATGTAATTCTAGTGATTTTGGACTGTGTAGGAAGTGGGATCTCTAAGCAGACATTCAGAAACGCCGTTTCACATATACATATTTGTGAAAAACAGAAATAATTTATTTGTAAAAAATAAGAGCGAAAAAACTTTGATCTTACTGTTGATTCATCAACATTACTCAAGGCGAGCTACTACTCGCTGACATTTTTATATTGTTTATCTATCGGACACGCAACCACAAAATTTGTTAAACAAATATTTGACATGGAGCCAATACCTCGTCCTTGATTCGGTCATGTTCACTAGTTAACTATAAAAATATTCGTCAACTAAACTCATGTAGATATATGTATCGTCAAAGAATAGTTTCAGTGCAGTTTTTGGCTACCAACTAACGAAAATTGTCTTGGGTTAAACATGCAACTGTGCAGATAATCATAGATGGATGGAAATTAGCAGGTATTGAGAAGATAAGAGAAGACAAATACCTTATAGTATGTAACAAGTAAGACGCCACCCACGAAGGAGTTTTAGTGAATTTTCTAAGAACCTTACACTTTATTATTCAAAGACGATTAGTGGATGTAGTTTCACATATCCATTAATATTTTTCATGTGGCTATAAAAAAACTATGTTACGTGTTCAATATTTGTCGATACGTAATTCAGAGTCCATCTACCACACATTTTATCTTATCTGGCTTAAAATGCCTGCTTATAAAATGGATCTGAACTGAGCTTCCGCAATGTTCTCCAATTTGTCGCCGTTCCGAGGACATCACTCTGTCTCGGTTACTAATTGTATCCTTTTCATTTAAATGCTACCAAGCTGTCTGGGCTACTCGTGTAAATCTTTTGTCACTTCCTCCTGTTCTCCTCAAGTGCTTTTTCTTCCTGTCTCAAGTGGCACCCAACCATTTTTAAAATCAACAATCCACACCTTATATTTATAGCTTTCTGGGTTGTATGATTGGTGGTTGAAACTATAACGAGACAAGAAGGTGGGGTTTCAAGTACTACAGATGTAATGTTTCAAAATAATTATATAAGAGAATGAGTCATTTTTTTAAACGAACACCATAAAGTGTGTACTTATTTCGATGTAAAATCACTACAGTAGCTGGTGCTTGTTGGATTTTGTCATAGTGGGTAACGTTTTACTGAAATTAGGTACCCTTGATATTCGTCTTCGTATGAATGAATAATTTCGGTATGAATAAGGAGTTTTTTCTTTCTCTTCCTCTAGGCAAAACAGTTCAGCTTCTAGGCCACTGAAGTAGATTGAGGCACGAAATTTTTTGCATGTATTGGTTTTAGTGTTCGTTCTAGATCAGGACTGTCCAACATAATTTTGTGGAGGGCCATGTTTAGTATTTTCGCAACCTAGCGGAACAAAAGAAAAGTAAGGTGACACATTCTAATATGGTTCATTTATTTCACTTATAATATAGATAGGTACTCTGAAAATTTAATTAATGAGATGTCTGACATTTGTTCTGTTTGCACCATGTATTTATGTTAGCTGGTATTGTAGTTGTTATACTTCATGCGGAAAAACAGCTGCTCGCAAATATATGAACTACCGAATAAAGAAATGTTTTGAAGAGCTAATTTAGTAAGGTTTGGGTGTAACATACTTTTTGCAAAATCCAATTAACTCGTTTGGAAGACAACCATTGTATGCCGTTTTTAGATGAGAACAACTTTGCAGTTCAATTAATTCTGACTGTAGGTTCGGTTCTGCGTTTTCAATTTCAACATCCAATGGATTTCGGAACACTTTCATGCTGGGGATTTGCGATTTGAAGTTAACGAATCTCTCATCAAACTTATTCCTCAACCTTTGCAACAACAACGAGTACTTTGCAAAGTATGACTTTTGATTTCTTGCAGATAAGGTCTCCAATGAACCAACTGCTTTTCCAACAATAAGAGCTTTGAGCATGTTCATATATAACTACGTGCATAGTATCTTTCCCTCGCAGTTTTAAGTTTCTATGCGCGCAGTTCCTGTTGAGGCGGGTATCCATTTGTAACATATTCGGTTCGTTGTAAGATAACAAGGCTAGGTCCGGAAGTATTTTTGAATTTTGGATGAGAGTTGTAACTGGCTCGCGGGCCTATGCGGGCCGGGTGGTGGCCCGGGGGCCGTATGTTGGACAGGTTTGTTCTAGATGTATAAAATTTTGATTCGATATGTTCGTCCGTTCCAAGTAAATATTATTATTTCCATGCCAAATGGCGAGGAAGTATTGTAACTCGAAAATGAGATATTTTTTTACACCGAAGCAGCCGCACAGGCAGAAGCCTAAATTGCGGGGCTCCGCGGCTGCTATGAGGAACTTTGTTAATCGGACTTTTGAACTGCCCAATTAAAAACGCTGAAACTCAGTTTTTATGTTTCAGAGCTTCCTGGACATTTTGAGGATATTTGCGTAGGTTTAAAAGTTAGTTTCTGGAGATTGTAGTGGTGGGGGAAGATTTATCTGAATTTATTGGCGTTCATATATTAATACCATTCCAACCATGGTGATCCTACGGACCTATTAAACATATTTTATACATCACATATATACCGGGATATTTTCAACATACGCGTCATCTATGGGTGGTTGGCGGGTGGCGAGGCTAGGCGATACTGTTAGTAGCGCAGAGGCGAAATTTCTAGATGGCAACGTTGTCAAATAGTTGGAGACTATGGAGTAATTGTTTGACGGAGTTTATCCATTTTTCTTTTTTTATACGTGTTCGTAGGTAAATTTTCTCTCAGAAGGGATTATTTGCGGAATCAACCTAATATTTTTCTCGATTGCATAAACTTTTGTCCCATATATCTTGGGATAACTATCTTCGGATCCATGTTCATACGAACATTCCCTTTCATTTTTGAACTCCCTTTTACCAAAGCTATATTACTTGCATTTTTTTTAATCATCCTGAATAATCTTACCATCCTGTGCCTCAATATTGGTTGAATTTCAGCCCGCCTGCCTTCACTTACATACTTGGCAGAGGAAGCGACGCGACAGGGATAATCTGGGTCTTTAACCTTCAACGTAGTCATCAACACCTCAAAAAGTATAAAAAATGGCAGTTCACTTGCGCGAAAGCCTGAAGCCGATCATAAACATGGCCGGTTAATTATCCCAAAGGCAGCGGGGAAACACAAACGCGCCAAATGAAAACGTGTAAATTATCACCAAATTCGGATATTGGAAAGTCGAGATTTAAAACAGGATTAACATATTCACCACATTTATCATAAACTGTATTGACGGCGGGTTAAATGAGTTGCGAGTTTTATGCACGGCAATGCTAATTTCATCAACGCGCGTTATGAACCATGCTAATAACATATTACAGCAGATCACACATTCGGCAAGTTGTCTCTTAACCGTTCTTATTTGGAATTATCTCAAAACAGTTTTGCAGTTCGCTAGACCATTGCATGCAAGTTCTTGCAGTCGCAAGACAACATTGTTTTGTCTGCAAGACAATTGCATCCGATTACTTGAATTTGCAAGGCGGCCCTGTGTTCTCGATTGAAACGCGC